AAACGTTGAAAAGAAAAAAAAAAAATTTTTTTTTTAAAAGTTTATACAAACAACATTTCATATCATTCATTTATCGGTTATTAATTAAGGAAGTTTGTATTGTTAATGTGTGTTTGTCGTATTGTTTGTTGTATTGAATGGAACAAAAAAAAAAAACTTTCTTTGACCTTAAACGTGGAAGTGTTTGTTGTTGTTATTTTTTCTACACGATTTGTTACATCAAGGTTTTTGGTATTTTGGCCTTTTCAAAGAAAACTTTTTCCTTTTTTTTTTTTTGCTTACTCTTATGTGATAATTAACTTTTTTTTTTTTTTTCGTTTTCCTTTTGGTGTTTTTTCATTAAACTGGAACGGTCTGGAATTGTTCCGTGGGAAATTGTTAACAATCCGGTTTTTTTTTTACCACCGACACGTTATCCTTGTACTATCTATACCCTTACAAAAAAAACAAACAAACAACCATTTTACCCTTTTTTTTTATTTAAAAAGTTGTTCGGAATTTAAAAAAAAAAAAAAACAAATTTTTTTTTTATTAATTTTATTTTGCTTAACTAATAACAAATATTTTACCAATAATAATAATAATGATAATGTGTTAGTTACTTTAATAGGTTTTAACGGGGGGAAGGGATGGTAGGGGGAGCGGGGAAAAAGTTAGTCGATTATTTAAAGTTTGGAGGTAGAAAAAGAAAGAAAGAAAAAAAAATTTTTTAAATATTTGTTTGAACTGTTTCGAAATGTATTTGATCTTGTGGGGGTGGTGGTGGGAGCGATGGCGGGGGATGAGTTTTTTTTATCTGTTCGTCGATCCATTTGTGATAACTGGAAACACGGGTGTAAACTCCGGGATACATTTTAAATCCACATCCGGCACCGGTCGAAACGATTCCTATTTGTCTTATTATTCCAAATTCGTCTTTTAAAACCAAAGGACCACCTGAATCACCCTAAAATGATAAGAAAAAAAAATTTTAAGCTCCCCAAAAAATTTTTTTTCATTAATAAATCATTAAAATTTTCCACGTTTATTATTATTATTATTACAATAAGTAATCAGTCTGACGTAACGCTCATTAAAAAAAAAAAAAAATTCAATTAGAGAAAAAAATTTTCGGCGTGTGTCACGCGGCGTTACAAATTGCGAAATTGCGGGGAGCGGGGGTGGGGGGAGATGTCAAAAAAAAATTTAATGTGATTTATGTTAATTGTAGTACCTGACAAGCATCTTTTCCTCCTTTTGTACTTCCGGCGCAAAGTTGTTGTTTTGCTATACCTTTAGGAAATGTTTTCGGTCCGATCGTGCTGTTACTATAGGCTTTTTCACAATTAACATTTGAAAAAATTTCAACTTCGACTTGTCTCAATTTGGTAGTGCCTTCACCTCCTGTTGCCAACAAAAAAAAAACAAATTACGAATATTCGGGACAGTGGAGGGAGGGGAGGGGAGGAGTAGGGAGAAAAGTTTTCCCAATAAAAAAACGAAAATTTTAATTAAATTACAAAATTTACGTTGCGTCACATAGAAAAAGGTTCGTTATTTTACCAAATTCTCTGGCTCCCCATCCGATGACTTTCGCATGATTTCCTTCGTAATTAGTTTCGTCGTCTGCTGGCATGCACACGGGTTTTATATGTTTCGAAAATGTTACTTTATTTTTTAATTTAATTATTGCTATGTCGTT